GTATCACATGTGCAGATTCATGTGCCACTTAAACACAGCAGCACACATTGCAGTTCCACCCCCGGGATCCCTGTGCTTCCTTTATAAACACAGCCACTGCCTTCCCTTCTTCCTAAAACCTGGCCACCACTCATCTCTTCTCCATCTCTACCTTAGTCATTTCAAGAACATTATATCAGTGGAATCATATGGTATGTAGCCTTTTGGATTGACTGTTTTGTTTTTTTTTTTACTGGGTATAATCCCCTTGAGATAAATTGAGAGCTTTTAAAAAGTGATTTTCAAAGAAAGTCTAACATCTTTCCCACTGGCCACTTATTCATCCTTTAGCAAAAAAGGCAGGAATGAGCACTGCAAAGGCCAAGGTGCTTCCCTAGGAAGTGGAGTAGCGTGCCCCAGGACTCAGTTTACTCCTCAGAGACTCTCAGGGAAGTCAGGAGTTCCTTTTTTGATCAACATGTTGATCTTTTTGTAGAAAACAGTCATATTTTCAAATTTCTTTTACAGCGCATGGTCCATCTCCTATTGCCCGTTTATATTCCAGTTAGTCCCATCTTCCATGCCACCTCTTTCCTTCCTCTAAATTTTTCCATCCTGACCAGTTGAAAACAAATTGTTGAGTGAATTAAGCTCTAGATGAGATTTCTCCAAATTGATATAATGTAACAAATAGGAATGGCAATCAATTTGACCGAAAACTTTTTTTTTTAACTTGAAATTACGTGCATGGAAGAGCTTCTGTTGTTTCCATTGGCCTGACGGGAAATTATCATGGTAGTTCTACCACACTAATAGTCTTGTTTTGATTTGTTTTGCCTCAAAAGTAATTATAAAATATACAATTCATTTGGATGACCTAAGTGCCATCCCTTGGGGATTTCATTACATAATAAGAGCTCTGTCTCATACCAAGTCATTGAGTCCTAATTAACAGTTTTGTTTTTAGATAAGTATGTATATCAGTATATCACATTTTAAGCTGTAAATAAGAGTGTTGTAATCTGTCGATGTGTTGAGAATCCCACTACCTCATGAGCAGAGGCTCTTTTAAGGTATTTTATAGATTGATTTGGCTTCAAAGAAGTAAAAAGGTCTTTCATTAATGAGTATTTAAATAATTAATACATAATCTTCTAAAAGAAAATTCCTACAAAGAAATTTGTAGGAATTGCTATACATTTACTGAGGGGAGCTATAATTGACATTATTTATCTGAATAAGCCTGAGAGATTCTAACTATAATATAAGAACAATTAACTGCTGACCAACCTGTGTAGCTAGATGTTTGTCTGGGTGATTGCTTTCAGGACTTCTTCTAAAGGAAATGATGGGAATTCAGTGTTTTCCTCCCTTGGTGTTACAGTCCTAAGATATACTTGACTGCATACTGAGGCAGATGGATTCATGCTTCTAGTCTAGGGACAAGGCTGTCACATAGATATAAGCATAGGATCAAGTCCAGACTCATCTGTTAATCTAACGTATCAATAAACCCAGTCTTTATCTTCATTTGAAAACTAGGCACAATATACATGTTAATATGGTAGCTCAAGATTAACTTCACCTTTCAGAGCGCCTTACTAAATGATAGCATTTATATAAATTGTGGCATATTGCTGACACTAAAGATCCAGACCCGGACAAATTAAACACTGAGGGTTCTACACATTGAAATATCCACATGTCCGTGTCACTACCACAAAATTACTATCCATTCTCATTCTACTTACTACACTCGTCATTTAATAAAATGCCCAGAATGTGGAAGCCTGGATTTTGATCTTGGTGCTGACCTATCTAGTCTACATCTCTACTTGAGTCTTCAAACTGAAGAAACTGAAACATTAGTGAGTCAACAAATACTGGTTGAACACCTACTACGTGCCAGGCACTGTTCCAGGCAGTGGAAGTGTTTCAGGCAATGTGTTACTTTACTCAGCCACTTAATTTTGTGGGTTTATTGCTGTTAGTTTTAATTTTGGACTTAAGCTTCTTTCCAAATGCAGTCTTTAACTGCTACTGTCAGTTACAGATAGTTTAACGGTAAGATCTGATAAATTCTTAGGTTGATGTACTTTTAGACTTATTCTTGCAGTTGTCATGTTCTCCCCTTTCCCCACCCAAAGGGGTGATTAGTTTCCCTCTAAGTAGGTTTTAAAGTCCTACTCTGCTTTCTGTTCTCATTTTGTAGCCCAAAGCCACTTTCAAACTTTACCACGCATTATAAACTTAAATGTTTTCTGGGGCCAGCCAGGTCCAAGTGTATGAAGCAGACCAGTGTGAGTGTATCGAGATTAGTAGGGTGTGTGTCAAACTGAAAAGTTCATGCCCACCTGTAAACATTTCAAAAAATATTTTTTAACCTGTGTCAAGCACATCTACAGGCCAGAAGTTTTCAACATTCTGAACATCTAGATAAACATAAATTTGTTAGACCGTTGACTTTTAAATATGAAAGTGAAATATCAGTTTATTAGTGACAGTGATTATATCAGTTTTAAAATAGGAAATGCCAAGAACTTTGCAGCATGAATGCACTTAGTGTTATGTATTTATGGGGTGGAGGTATGTGGATTATTTTGTTTTTGTTTAATGTATTGTGGATGTCTTGCCATGTCAAATCATATAGATCTATATCTTACGTCATTTAATGACTGTGGGAAATTTCCATAGTAAGGATGTGCTATCATTTACTTTTCCATTTCCATATTTGATGGATATTAGGGAAAATCTAAAGTATGCGTTAGTGTAAACTTTATAGAAGATAAGGACTAGGTCCTCCTTCCCTCTTTTCTTTGCTATTTTTAAATATAATTTGAAGAAAAGCTCAATAGAAATGAACGTTAAACTTAAAAGTTGATTCCAGGAAATAGTAGGTTCATATCACTTACATAACCCTTAGGAAGCCTGAATTTAATTATATTTCTTTCTGGTTAAGCAGAGACATGTGGCTGAACCATTATGAAGGGCATAATTTCTTGGGCATTAATAACTGAAGGGCTGTTACACAGTAGTTTGAAGCTATTAAAAGATTCCATATAAGTTCAGAGCAAATATGTATTTACCAATATTCACACGTAAAGAGACAGCCTTGAACAGTGATATATGTGTGAGAACTAAAATTCACATTGTATCGTGTAGATGTTAGGTTTCTTGCTTTGGGAATCACTCATTACTTGTTATAGGAGATGAATAAGGTGGTGCTTTCTTACAATAAAATCATTCTTGCAAACTATTACTTGAATTTTGTTCTAATGGAACTTAAGAGTTTCTGAATCAAATTACTTCTTTATAGCAGTGTGATTTCATCAGATCTCTTCCTGTATTAAGTTCTTTGGTCTAAGTTCATTTTAATTAGGAAAGGCAGCAAAAATTCATATTGGACATATCGAAAGGGCTTTTCACCTGAAATGTAGATTTCTTTTTATCTTTTAAAATACTTTAAAAATTGAGATATAGTGTACATACAGTTAGAATACAGTTTCTAATATGGAACCCAGTTCTATTCCATCTACTATGGAATTCCGTTGCATTCCATTGAATGCAGAATTGTTTGTGTATAGCATTTTTTTTTGTTTGTTTGGTTTTTTTTTGGCGGTAAGCGGGCCTCTCACTGTTGCGGCCTCTCCCGTTGCGGAGCACAGGCTCCGGAAGCGCAGGCTCAGCGGCCATGGCTCACGGGCCCAGCCGCTCCGCGGCATGTGGGATCTTCCCGAACCGGGGCACGAACCCGTGTCCCCTGCATCGGCAGGCGGACTCTCAACCACTGCGCCACCAGGGAAGCCCGTGTATAGCATTTTTCGGGAGGAGATATTTTGTAACTTTCCGCACACTTTCAAAGTGGTGAGGCACTGGGAGTGGCAGTGGCCGCCGTCGTGGCAGATGGTAAATCAGTGACCTGGTGTCCTGGTGTTGCTGCAGTGGGCACCAGTGTTTTCACTGTAGGCTTTGTCATCTTAAAGATTTTCTGGGGTTTTTTTTTCTGAGGAAAAAAAAAATGTTAGCAACTGAGGAGGAGAGCTTGGGTAACCTAGGACCTGGCGCAATTCAAACTGGTACAATGACATTCTCTGTTCTCTCTATATAAAGAAGCTAGGCTAGTCCCAGCGCTGAGCTCAGGACTGGAAGTTTTAGGAAGGTGTTATTTGGTCTCTTAACAGACGCCTGGAGGTATAGAAAACCGCACTTGTAATTCTGTAACTTATAGGGGAAATTAATGAATATCGTGGTTTTAAATAATATCATTAATTATGGATAAAGACAAAAATGAAAAAGTGAACTTTTTGGAAAATACATTGACTTGGAATTGTAAATCCCGTGGACCTCAAAATTTGTAGTTCTCTCGTCCAGTTTAGGTTTTCCGGTGAGGGTGAATCTGTGTTCTTTGTCACACATGGCGCCTCCTCCCCTTCCCACAGAAATGAGCGATCATGTAATTGGGATTAAAGTAATTACAATTATTGAATCCTCTATTAACTCTAATAAAGTTCTTTAAAATTATAGTTTCTGGTTCATTTGTTTAGGTTTGAAAATTTTTTATAGGATAAAAAGTTGTATATAATCCTTGTCTCTTTCTTTTTCCTAAGAAGCAGATTAGCAAGTAACTATTTTTCCTGTTTAGTGATGTGATCTGCAGGGTAACCACTATTAGCTTTTCAATGGAAAATGTGTATTTTGTAGTTATAGTGATAACCTGTAAAAGTCCAATTCTGAGCATTGCTGGAGTAGTTAAGTTTAAAAGTATAATGAATTTTGGTTTTCCTTTGTTCGTTTATTATGGTAAATTACCCCCCCCACATATATATATTAAATAATGGAAATAAAATCATGTCTCAAATTCCCATTCTTTAAAAAGAATCTTTTTATAATTTAAGTAAATAAAAACCAGAAAATGGCATTAGTAATAACTGAGAATGTTATTGAAATGAAAAGATTATGAGTTATTATTTTATTTTAAAAATTTCAAGATTTATATTAAAAGAATCATTGTCTTCTTTCAGATAAACTTGCGCCTCATCTTGGTAAGCGGGAAAACAAAAGAGTTCCTGTTTTCTCCTAATGATTCTGCTTCTGACATTGCAAAGCATGTGTATGACAACTGGCCAATGGGTGAGTGGTATTTTTCTCTTGGGAATGAATAATGTTAATTCTTCATGCCCTACCTTGTTTCACAAACATTTTGAAAAAGTTGTAAGTAAATAAAAGAGAACAAACAAATGATTGAGGGTATAAGGCTTAAAGTTAAGGGGGTTGCTGCATCCTTCCTGGGTTTTGCTTTTCAGCTCCCTCACTGCAGAATGATAACGGAGCCAGTGCATCAAGTCCCTGGTTGGCTTTAGAGCTGTTTTAATGTATTGATAAAAGAAAAAAATTTTTTTTTAAAGAATACACAAGGTAGCTAACACACACACACACACACACACACACACACACATATACACTTTCATATCAGTAACCCTATTTATACCAAAACACAAATAAAAGGAAAGAAAAACTGTCTTTAACAAATTTTAATACGTTCTCTTTGGTCTATTCTATACATAGCCTATTTAAAATTGAGCTTGACACAAAGTTAATTTCTAATTCATGTCACTTCCTGTGTTCTCTGAACTACTACAAGGTCAAGAAGGTATAAAATCCATTTATATGTTGCATTTTCAAGCCAGTATCCATGACAAACAGAATTTGGGCGCGGGGGCGGGGTGTGTGTATGTCTTATTCCTTTCTCTGGTTCTTTTCTATGTAATAAGACTGGCTTGCCATCCTCAAGTGAGTCTTTAGCTTATGTTCTTCCTTTAAACTTAACCCAAGTCATCTTGACCCTTTCAATGGCATGTACCATAGTGATATGACTGTTTCAGCTGATTTCACTTAACTTTACTACCAAAGCAGCTTGGACTTTTAAATCACAAGACTTGTTTTAACAAAGAACACAGTGTATACAAAATGAATCAATTACGTCAGTGTTTCTCAACCTAAAAAATATATGTGGAACTCCTTACAGGAAGAAAATTCTTGTAGATTCCCTAGTGCTGACTTATTTTTGTTATAATGTTTATTTTTAAGGATAGAGACATATAACTCAATTAACTCTTTATCCTTATTAACTTGTATACAACCATAAAACTAAAACAGATCTACAAAGAAAATGCAAATATAACTCTAAAACCGGTAATGTTCAAATTAACAACTTCAATGTGCCACATGATATATTTTTGCTAAAACTAACTGCTTGCACCATGAATATGGTACTGTTGAGTGTGGCATGCCTCTGCTGCTACTTGCTGTATGAGAACCCAGTTATCTGCAGATTCACCACAAAACCTTCATTCACACAGTGTACCAAATTGTCATTCAGCCTTCACTTAACAAGAATGCATCGTTTATGTATTAAGTCAACCTCTGTTCTTTTCTTGTTAACCTCTTGACAAAGAAGTACTGCTTGGCACCAGTACAATCATAAACTTAAATGCATACATGGGCACTAAAATCCCAAGGCTTTACTTGGTTGTAAGGTAATTATTTGAATTATCTAGATAATCTCTTGCAGATTATCATTAAAATGAAAACAGAATCTAGAACTTATTGAAGAGGACTTTGAGACCCTAAGAACCTGTCTTTGTGGACTCATAGACCTGAGTTTAAGAAATACTCTGCTTTAGACAAACACTTTCAAATGACTGGATCTTTCTTCTCACTGATAACCAAGGAACAAGTCAACACTAGCTCCTAAATCAGGAAGAGACTGAAGCTAGAGGTCATAGATAAGAAGGAATTTCAGAAGAGCTGAAGTAAACTAAACTTGGGTTCTTAGAATACTGGATTTTCTTCATAGCCAGACAGGGTAGATAAGTAAGAGTATGGAAAGCGTTTTTAAATACCTGTGTGGTGGTGATGTTGTACTAAGTGTAAAGATGCCTTTTGTGACTTTTGTGGGGTGGAGGTTGAAGATAGGCTTTTGACATCTGTGGGCGTGTTGTAGAAAAGGGCACTACAACCCCGGCTGCAAGGGTTACGCCATAACTTGAGGTAAAGGAGATAGTTTCACCTTCGTGATTGTTTGACTTAGACATTAAAAGTAGTTTCAGTTCCTTAAAGTATCCTGATTAATGGTAAACAAAGGTGAGATTCAAGTGCAGGTCTGTAACATAGTTTCCCAAACCATCTACCAGTGTTGGAAATTGTATCAATTCTACGTTACTTATTTTCATAGAAAAGGTTTTTGAACCCAATCTTTTCCTCAGTTTGCCAGTTCTACTCAGCAGTTTTAGACACTGCAGGGAATAAAAATAAATAGTTTTTATTTTATATAAAACATTAAAAAATCTAGGTCTGCTTTGTATCGCATAATGCACTAAAGGTCAGCAAATGTAAATATTTATTGGTGCTAATAATAAAAGTAGTGAGTATTAAATTAGTAGAAGGAAATACGTTGTGCAATATATTTTTGGAAGGAGTGGGTTTCCTTTGGTATATTCTTGTGCAGCTTAGTGGAATATTGTTAATAGATGGACTAGTCAGGCACATAGTGTTATTGGGTCAGAGTTCCAAAAAATAACCCACTAAATATATGTTGCTAGTAGCTGAAATTCCTCCTGTAAGCATTATTCTTCTACAGGTCTCTTTAAATTTCAGATCCTCTGAGAAGGAAAGGAAGATAGCGTGTTAAACCACAGAAGCACATGAGAATCATGACACTCTGTGTAGGATAAAGAAATATGTGGCGTCAAGTTTCTGCATCTCAAAAAAATACTTTAAACATTTTTAGAATTTTTTTTCCGTGTAAATTAGACAATTACTGTCATTTGTCTTTATATCTTGACCAGAAATATTCATATATCTGATAAGGGTCTAATATCTAAAGTATACAAGGAACTCATACAACTCAACAGCAAAAAAACAAACAATCCAGTTTTAAAATGGGTAGGAGATCTGAACAGACATTTTTCCAAAGAAGACACACAGATGGGCAACAGGCACAAGAAAAGATGCTCAACATCATTAATCATCCGGGAAATGCAAATCAAAACCATAACAACATGTTACCTCATGCCTGTTAGAATGACTGTTATCAAAAAGACAAGGAATAACAAGTGTTGTTGACGATGTGGAGAAAAGGAGGCCAATTTACACTCCCAGCCACAGTGGTGGGAATGTAAATTGGTGCGGCCACTTTGGAAAACAGTATGGCGATTCCTCAAAAAATGAAAAATAGAACTACTATATGGTCTAGCAATTCTGCTTCTGGGTATTTATCTGAAGAAAATGAAAACACTTAATTCGAAATGATATATATGCATCCTTATGCCCACTGGAGCTTTATTTACAATAGCCAATATATGGAAACAACCTGAGTTTCCATCAGTGGATGAATGTATAGTGAAATTGTGAGAGACACACACATACTCAATGGAATATTACTCAGCCATTAAAAAAAGAGTGAAATCTTGCCATTTGCAACAACATGGATGGACCTGGAGGGCAGTTATGCAAAGTGAGATAAGTCAGAGAGAGAAAGGTGAATACCGGATGATATCTCTTATATGTAAAATCTTAAAAAAAAAAAAAAAAAAGCCAAGCTCATAGATAACAGAGAGCAGATTGGTGGTTGCACAAGGTGTGGGGAGGGGAGAGATGGGTAAACGTTATTTTTTAGTTCGAATAAATTGAATGAAAATTATTTTAAAAAGAAAAATTATAGGAGAATATTTTAACCCTGGCATTTTGACATTGAGGACATTTAACACAAAATACAATTTGACCCATGTAAAATTAGATTAGGTAGAAATTATCGTGACAGAATAAAATGAACAACGCTAAAGGAAAGGAAAAAGAAATATTCTATTAAACAATAATTTTGGGTGTGATGAATTCAAAGTAATCCATACGAAAGTGTTAACAACTGACAACTTATTCTTTCTTCTGGAGAAGAGGGACCTGGGAGCCCTGGAGTCAGAAGGCAACAGAGACACCCCAGGGGGAGGGACGAGACGGGGGCCTGGGGGAGAATGAATGAGTTTCACTTCTCCTTACCCATTCCTGTTGTGCTGAGTCACTGACAGGCACTGGTTTTATCAAATTCATATTCATCATTTTGAACACTCAAAAAAAGGCAAGAAGAAAAGTGCTCTACTTACCTCCTTTCTCTTCTGTCCCTTGCTCTTCAGGCTACTTTAAACTAGTTTGTGTGTTGACAGTTATCATCTCCTGAAAACAGGAGCTTCTATAGGAAACAAACACATGATACTAGAATTCTTGAGGAAGATGATGACGAAATTCTCAAACCTTTCAAAATCAGAGCTTCAAATTCTGTATCTACAAGCTAGTGAAAATTACTAACCCCATACCTTGTCACGATACTACTGTTCTCAAACCATTATTTTAACAGAATCATATTCCATATTTTACTGTAATGTAAGTTATACACTAAAATGAAATATTCTGTTATTCATTCTACCTACCAGTTTCTCTTTTGATTTTCTTTGTACATTATCCTAGCTTTCATACTTATATAGCACCTTCTAATATGTTATTTTTCAAGTTTATGCTGAGAATTTTGGGTAAAGTGAACTAAAGTTGTGTCTTTAATGTTTATCAATTGGCTTCAAAAAAAGATAAAGTTATCAACATTACCCAAAAGTAAACACCTAATTTTTTTGTTGTTCTGTTTTTTTAAATGTTTGTTTTCCAGTTATTGAGGTATAATTTTTTGTTATGCTCTATATCAATATATTAATTCTTTTAAAAATCTTTGTTAAACCTATTGTTTCCAGCCTCAAATGTATATTTTAAAAGGTACAAATATTGGTAATATTATAATATTTTCGGTTAATTACTGGTTATTAACATTTTCAGCTGACATTTTTTAAACTAGGATTCGATTTTCCCCAACTCATTTGTTTCCATTTTTAAACTTCAGGACCGTATTTTGGCACAGTTTAGTGTTCTTTAAGAAGCAAAAACTAGCCTTAAGCAGCTCTTGCTATTTAACGAGAACAGCAAGAACAGTGATTAAGTGGGCAGTGACTGCTCCAATTATAAGGAAGCGCCAGGCGTCTTCTCTGATGTATTCTATCTGATTTGGAGCCGAATTTTAGAACAATGCACTAATACCTTAATTTTATGTTGAAATGCACCTAACAATTCCCTGGTTCTTTTCAGACTGGGAAGAAGAGCAGGTCAGCAGTCCAAACATTCTACGCCTTATTTATCAAGGACGATTTCTACATGGAAATGTCACATTAGGAGGTAATAGTTACCTTTGTAATGGGATTTAATGCCTGTCTCATGGCAGCATTATTCATTTGTTTGTTTAAATGCTAATGTCTGATTTTACTAAAAATATATAATTTCAAACTGTGAATTTTGCCTAATTTTTGATATGTCTACTTCTTTACATTTTTCATTCCGTTTAATTTTAGCACTACGATTAAGTGTTTACTGCCTTGTAGAATAAACTCTAAGCCATTACAGATGGGAGTCCATACCTATATTTTATAAATGTAATTTAAGTGTACTTCTGGATAATATAATTTAGATGTAATATTTTTAAGTTAAAGCGAGACACGCAAACTAGGAAAGGTTTATGGTAATGGATTTTCAAATAGAATACTGAAGGTATGTTTTCAGTTTGACTCTAACTGATGTAATTGCTAATCATGCAGGAATAAAGGTAAGTGAGTAACATTAGAGAAACTGTAGTGTAGTGACTGAAAGAGCAGATTTTAGAGCCAGATTGTCTGAGTTGTATCTTAGCTCCACCACTTACTGGCTCTGTAACCGTGAGCAAGTTACTTCACTGCTTTCTGTCCTAGTTTCCTCATCAGTGAATTAGGATAACCATAGTGCCTACCTCATAGGTTGGGAGGGTTGAATTAGTTTATAAATTCAAAGCACATAGAACAGTGCTTGGCACATAGTAAACACTTTAACTGTTGGCTATTACTGCTCTTTATATGTGAATGGGGAAATGTAGCTCAATAGTGCCCCCTTCTGGGTGGAACATTGTCTACCATCAGCAGGATTTGTTTTTATTTAAGTACAAGTATTTCAAATATATTATGAGAACTAGAAATATGTAGGCGAAGGAAGTGATCTACTGTAATATATCTTTGTTTACATATAGTCATGACTTTTTTTCCTCTAAACCTAATAATCGAAATGTTTAATCTGTTCTTCCTTAAAGGTAGAATATTTTCGTTCATTCATTCATTTTTTCAGCATGTATTTCTTACGTGCCAACACTGCTAAACAATTAAAGATACAGGGTTGAAAAAGAATCTCTTCCTTCAAGGTGCTCTGGTACTACATAGTAGAAACACATAAAATTCACTGTTAAAATACTATGTGACTTGGAGTAGATGAATGCAAATGATTTTTATGACAATATCAAGTCGATGGAGTGTTTCAGTATGTAATTTTACACACAGCCAAGTTTTGGAGGCATTGATAACACTGGTCTAAAAAGTGCCGCTATCTATCTACTGAGAGGTATCTGCCGTTTAAAATATAGCTTTTTTTGGTTTGTAGTTATTGTTATTATTACTTCTTTATAGCTCTTTGTGTAGTTACATGGACCAATTCTTAATGTGTTGTCTATGGCTATATTTTACATTCATTAAGGATGGGACCATATTTTAGTCTTTTTTTGATTGTCTGTGCCTCACATAAGCTCTTGTAGTGTTGACGGGTCAGTGTTGATTGAATTAATCTATTGACTCCACGAATGACTCTTGAGACTCCATTTCCCTTTGAGTATTGATCTACAGGAGCAATTTCTTATCAACTTAATTCTTTAATTACCTCTCTGTTGTGGCCCCAAAGTTCCAACTTCATATTAAACATAACAGAATTTGTGTTAAAATCAAACTATTGACTTTTTTTGGAATTTGTTTTTGACCGATTAACAGATTGACTTACGTTATTACTCTCATTCTATGTTGCTGTCAATCTTTTCAAGAACAAACCATCTCTGGTCTTAGTGATTTAGACAAAGAGCATAGGAATATAACCTAGACCTTTTAAGTTGATCAGTAAATCTGGGTAATAACATTGAACTATTTGTGGCTTTTTGGTCGCTGTTTTTCTTTGTCTCCCTGTTTTTTGAGGTACGCAGGCCTCTCACTGCTGTGGCCTCTCCCGTTGCGGAGCACAGGCTCCCGACGCGCAGGCTCAGCGGCCATGGCTCACGGGCCCAGCAGCTCCGCGGCACGTGGGACCTTCCCGGGCCGGGGCACGAACCCGCGTGCCCTGCATTGGCAGGCGGACTCTCAACCACTGCGCCACCAGGGAAGGCCCTGTCTCCCTGTATTGTTGAATGTGGATAAGGAGGAGACGGCACACAGGGTCATACAGTTGAATGGCTAGTGTGGAGAAGGCCTAGGCTGGCTTTGCACGGCTTGAGACATGCTCCGTATGTATAACCCTGTGGGCATCGGATACTTAATTTTAAATGCAGATTTCTGCATGCCCACTCTCCCCCGCCCTGTCTCCCAATCTACTACCGATTTGCCGTCCTGGTCATTTTTCTGTAAAGGGTGAGAACCTTTCTTCTGGGTACTGTGCAGTGTCCCAGTAGAAAGCAGAAGCACCACAGTGAAGGAGAGAAAGCATCTTGGATCTGGTATCCCTCTTCCTTTACCTTCTCTTAGTATCAATGTCTACAATTTCTAGTTAAAATTCAGATGGAGAAGAAAACTAAGTCCCCGTCAATCAAATGTGTGGCTTCAAACAGTAAGCCCCTCAGCAGCTTTCTAGGCCTGTGCAGCATCTCTGCACATTCACAGCTCACTCACCTGTTCTCTGAGGTCTGTTTTCCTGGCTGCCCAGAAACATGATGATCATGGTAATATCTATGGAGTGCTTTTTTGTGCCAAGCCCCGAGGCAAGCACTTTCCTTGGATTGTTTCTTTTAATCAATACAGTGGTGGGGGGCAGGTGATAGAATTACTACCTCCAATTTAGGTGGAGGAAGCTGAGGCGTAGGGAGGGGTCAACAGAACTCTCAGAACTCATCTTACAGTCAGTAAGTAGCAGGGTGCAATTGTAACCCAGGTCTGGCTTACTGGAGTCAAGAAGGCGGTGTGAGAGTGGAACACAGCTTGGTATGTGGACATTTTAAATTCAGTCAGGCTTTCCCAATACATTTAGTGAAATGTTTCATAATGTAAAGTCCTGTTTGCATTTCAGTGTTAAGTCAGGCCTAGGAGATTATCCAATAAAGGCCCTCCTTTTTTTTCAGCCTAGTGTGTATTTTGGGGCCACGATGCTTCATTTTAACTTCAGAAATTAAGAGAACAGACCAAGTAGTGGCTGGCTAGCTTTAAGTAAGATGGAAACTCACCTTGATTACATGAAATATTAGGAATGTTGAAGATAATCAGGGCTCTTTTTAACCGCCACCCTGTAGAGCGGGTTGAAAGAGCAAGTGGCGGGAGGGTGGTGCTCGCTGAGTAATGATCTAAGCCTGCCTTAGGTTTGCAGTCAAGAGACTAGTTTGAAATGTCAGAACTAAAACATCACAGCTATGGAAACAACTCCAGATGTTAGATCTACCGGCTGCTTCTAATTTTATACACAGAATGCCAAAGGGATTTGCCATGAAACTTTTGCGTAAGTGGTTCATGGGTGCGTTATATTAGTCTGTGTCTGAAATATTTCATAATAAAAATTATTACTTATAAATGAGAAAAACCTTTTAAAGACTTGATTAGAAAACAGTGATTACTAATAATGCCAAGACAGTGATTCTTTTAAAGTAACCTTTTTAAGAAAAGTATTTTCTAATTGAAGCATATAAGGTTAAAAATAATAAAATTATTATATTATTATTATGTTTAAAATTATGTTTGTCATTTCTTCTGTTTCTACATTATAGTGGCCTGTCTGGTGCAGGAATTTTATTATGTGACTAAACATAATTAGGTTTAGAAACAAATGTCTCTTAATCTAAACTTCCCCCTAATTTAGAAAAAGTATTCTTTAAAACCTTGTTGAAATTCCTTCTCTCCTTTAAAGATTATCCAGTATTAACCAGTTATGCATTTTCTCTTGTCCCCTTCCTTAAACAATGTGTATATATGTGTCAAGCTGACAGCCATAGCTAAATAATTTCTGAATTATAAAAATTGTTTCTGATAATATGAACCTAATTTCATTTTGTAAGAGATGCTCTCTCTGGTAAGAAATGCCATCTGTTGAGGAAGTCATACAAAAAGCAATCAATTTTTAAAATGGTTTCAATTTTGGTTAGTGATTTCAACAGGTTGGTGTATATGTAACAAGTTGTCTTCTGCTTTTCACATAGCATTAAAACTTCCTTTTGGCAAAACAACAGTGATGCACTTGGTGGCCAGAGAGACACTGCCAGAGCCCAACTCTCAAGGTGAGCCGTGCGCTCGAGAAGGTTCTCACTCGAGCCACAGACAGCCATTCAAAAGTGGCTCAGCGTTTCTTGGAAATTCTGAGGGGAAGAGGTTTTCATAGTTTATGGTGACTGGTCCTTAGCAGTCAAACCAAATCAGCGTGTCCCTTGATTCTCCTCTGTGTTTATGTGTGTATCTTGGTTTGGGGGAGAGGAGAGGGAGGGGCAGGACTGTGGAATCTCTAGGGTGTCTGGGTAGGTAAGTGGGCCCTTGTGTTAAAAACCTCTGCGGGCCTCTGTTTTGGGGGTGAAGACAGGTATCACCGCCCCGCTCCCCGCCCAGCCATCTGCTTGCCTTGTGGAAGCCTTCTGCTTCCGGGAAGGCTCTTGGAGGATAGTGCAGGGTGAGGTGCTACCATCCATCCTGGAGCTGCGTCTCAGTGGCGAGGGAAGGTGACTTTGTGGATGATTGCTAAGACCTAACGAGTCACCAGAAACTCTATTCATAGTTTATGGATGGAACTTGTTAGTAAGCAAATAACCAGACATTTTGGAAACAGGTTAAAATTAAGAGGGTATTTACTATAGCTTTTTAATTTAAAATAATGCAAACATTAAACAGAAAAATCCTG